ATTCTGACACCGTCATGTTCCCTTGGACCAACTAGACAAACTCCATCTCCTTCAGATGTCGGATGTGCTCTTGGAGGTACTCTGCATGAAAGGCTGTTAGGAACTGTTCCCAAGTAACTGGAACAGACAAGGTGCTCTGCTTGAGTTCCTACCAGCGGTCTGCTTCTCCCACCAGCATGTAGGTAATAAAGGTGACCCTCTGCTCGGGAGTCACCCTTAGGGTCTTGAAGGCTTCTCCGTCTCCGCCAACCAGTACTAGACATCTTAAAAAGAGGATTTCCCTATAAAATTAGATGGGTTCACTCTTTTGTACCTCTCTATGTAGCTTGGGTCAATCATAGAAGGAGCTGAGTCCCACGGAAGAGGGACTGAGCTAGGCTGAGGATAGACAGGGGGGCTCTGTGGTGGTACTTGTTGATATGGTGAGGGCACTGGATTATACTGTGGTAGTGTCGGGCAGTACTGTGGCTGGGGCACCATATTATACTGCGACGGTGGTACTGTGGAGGAGCAGGCTCGTACCGGGGTGGCTCGGGATCCTCTCGCTATAGTAGTGGCTTAACCTGTGGCAGCGGGGGAGGGTCAGGTAGCTCCCTTCTCTCCTCTCGACCCTGCTGGGCAACAATGAGTCTCTCCAGCATCTCAAATATCTTGTCAACGTCCTCCTGAAGCGAACCATCCCGGGCTGCTCGGTTTAGTGGGTGTCTTCCTCTTATCATCTCTCTGTACCTACATTTCACAAGGAAATGTTGAGTAATGATTCATTGGTTTGGTGTTTACTTAACAATATCTCGGAATAAGTTCTGTAAAAGAAATACAAAAAATAAGAAAAATAAAGAAAATTATAAAGCATCTAGTATCTACTCGCTGTCTTCTTGTGGATCAGGCTCGGGAACCAAGTCCTCCTTATCTGAAATGGTTAAATAAGGAATGAGTTACACTAGCCCAGTAAGAACATCATACTATACCACCGTCACAGAAGCAAAGGTTGATAGAAAACTGAAAACAATCAATGGAGTACAAATTTTAAACCAATACAATTATTTAAAATAAAATCACTTACCTTTTTTCTTACCATTGGAGAACCTGTGAAAATAACCTATAAAGACAATAACATCATATAGATCACAATTTCATGCATAATCAGTAACATAAAATACATCATAAATTTGTATTCATTAACAATAACTGATTATCACCGTTTCTCATTTTTCCAGCCTACTAGTTAGGGTTTGGGTGCGGATGAGGTTATTTATACCCATATGCTTTTGATCTAAGCCGTCCATCGCTTTTAATCTGGACTATCCGATCGCGATGAAATAGGAAGTAAATCTGGACCGTTCATCACGATTCAATCTGGGCCATCTGTGCGCGATTTAATCTGGGTCATCCATGCGTGATGCAATCTGGGCCATCCGTGCGCGCGAGATTGGATCTCAGCCATTCGATCGCGCGCACGCGGATCGCCCCACGTGGCTCCCTCCTTCGTGGCCTCCCACGTCAGCGTCTTTTTCACCTGGCCCGTCTTGGTTGGTCGGGGTTGCTGACCGGGCAGCTGACGTGACACAACTTTTTTAAATTACGTTTTGACCTCCGATTTCTGATTTTTCTTTTAAAAATACCTCAAAACTCAAATTTTCACCAATTTTTCTCAAAATTATTTTTAATTAAATCCCTAAACACTTTTTACCCCTTTTATTATTATTATTATTATTATTTTCATTAAAATAAATTTAATTTAATTTAATTTAATTTAAACTTACATAAATAATAATTATATTCATACAATAATAATTAATAAAAGAAAAAAAAAAAAAAAAAAAAGGTTGGGTGTTACACTTGTACTCATTTTGGGTTTATTTTTCTACCCACACTCTCTCGCACTTCATTAATTATGAACTTTTGTTTATCTCTTTTAAAATGAATTGGAGGTCACTCGCACCAATTTTCATCTCTATTTTGAACGACGACTACATATAAAAATTAAATTTAGATAGTCAAAATAGATAACATATTAATTTTTCAATTGCACTATACTTACGATGCAACATTAATAAGATATTATTTTTTAATAATCAGTAAGTTAAAATAATAAACTTACATATCTCATTGGATCAAAATGGTTCGTATACAATAATAATAAAGAAAAAATCAATTTAACCACTAAGGCTATCATGTGGAGTTCAATAAAGCCTTTATATAGAGAATTAATGTAAAGAAAAAGACTTTCTTAAAAACAAAAAAAAAAAAAAACAGTTGCAAGGCAATAATGCAGATTCCCTTTTAATCCTTTCTCGCTACTTTTCTTTTACATCTTTTTTGAAAAGGGAAGAATTGGGAGTTGTTTTTTTCTGTTTTATTTCTTTTCATTTGATACATCAAACATCTCTCCATTTTAAAGAATTATTATTTTATTTTTTATATAAAAAAAAAAGAAAAAGAATTAGAATTGTTTATCAAACTGGTCTGCTATTTGATTAAATTAATAATGAGGACCCACTGATAGACAGGTTATATCTTTAAAAACAATAGCATTAATGGAGAAGAGGCCAAACATATCCTTTTGCGATATGCTTATACTTAGTGCTTTATACATGTGATGATCATGCTTGTTAAACTTTATTTTGAATTGGGTATTAAATTATTAATGTTTCAAAAAGATCGATATATATATATATCTCATTGTATAATAGAACCTTTAAAGCTAACGAAAAAGAGATTATACTATTTCAAAGATGTTAATAGTTTTATCGTCTATAACATTATTAATATGTTAATTAAACTAACAAAAAAAAATCAGCATCAATTTTACTTGCTTCATCTAGCATAATCATCTTCCTTCCCTCTTGTTCTTATGAAAATCTAAGCATGATATGATGCCTTTGTTATAATTTTCTAATCTTCATAGTGATTTCCCAAATTTGATGTGGTAACTTTTTAGTATTATACAATAATTCATATAATACCAAGTTATAAGCAATTCTAATTGAATTAGCTAAATAGTATTATTCATTATTCAACTTGATTATAATTGAAATAGATAACTGCTTCATTCTGTGATTTAATTTTATCATAATTACAGTCCAAAATCTATATTTTTTTTAATTTAGTATTATTACTTTTAGGAGAAAAAATAATTTTATTTTTTATTTTTTAAATTATTATATTTAAAATATTTATAAAATTTTTAATATATTAATAAAAAAAATATTCTATTATTTTTCTCATAAAATTCTATTTATATAATACTAAATAATTAAATAATAAAATATAGTATTTAACACATCATTTCAAATTGGTGCAAAAATATTGCACATGTCAAACTTGTAAACTAAATTCTAAAGAGTCATCATGCAATCTTAATGTACACGCGTTTAACTCGTCTCAAAACCGTTACAGTCCGGCTCAAAACGACTCGGTTCTAAAATTGTTTGAGTTTGACTCTAAAACAACTCAACGTCGGCTCAAAAAATAACTCGAAGTCAGCTTGACTCGCCTTCTCCGAACATATCTCTGAACATATGCAGAAAAACGGAATAGCACAGCCCTTTTTATCAACCTTTATAGATGTGCAGCCGTAACTTTTTACCAACGTCTGCAAATGTACAGCTACACCGTTTTACTGGCGCTTTAGATGTGTAACTGTACTTTTTATCAATGTGTAACTACAATTTTTTATCGACGACTTCAAAATGCTATTACATTTTCTATCATTTTCTATCAACGCTTGTAGATGTGCAATTCCACTTTTTTACCAGTGCATCACTACCGCTGAAAATCACTGTTTACCACAGAACATTTGGTTGGTTCAAAACTATTTTGGATAGTGATATAAATAGATCTAAATAAAATGGTACCAACTCAGTACATTGTACTATTTTAACATATGAAAAGAATCATAAAATTATAGCCTTAAAATAATTTTATTTTATTCTGATGCTATGTTAGTTTTAAGAAAATAAATAATTTTTTTTATTTTTTAAATTATTACATTTAAAATATTTATAAAATTCTAGAACCTATTAATAAATAAATTTTTATTCCATTATAATTTTAATAATATAAAATTATTATTTTTATAAAATTTTAATTATATAATATTAAATAATTAACTAATAAAATAAAAAAATGACATTCAACTAATACAGTATAAAAGCTTTCTATTTTACATAAAATCATTTGTTTTCTCATTCCTAATCTTAATTTGGTTACTCTTAAACTCCATGTGTCTAGAAGACAAACAAATAGTTTAATGAAGAAAGACCACAGAAAAATTCAAACCACCTTCTACTAAACTTTTAAAAAAAAAATAACAATAAAAAATCATTTGAATTACACTAGACTGAAGCACGAGAGATAAGACTTTAACTTTCTCCTCAAAATTAAACATGATAATTATGCATTTTCCAAAACAAAACAAAACCTGTCATCAAAACAAAGAATCCACAATTCCAGAAACAAAAGGCAAAGTATGGAACTCCTGTACTGATCACCCAAAAAGCAACACCAAAGTACAATTAATAGAAGAACAAGTTCACAAAAGGGTATCCAAATGTGCAGAAACTTCAAGCTGGTGAAAATACAATCTGTAAAAAAATTGCACAGGAGCTTTGCTATAGGATTGGCCTCGAATATACAACATGGTTACAGGGATAAATTAGTAGGGGGGTTAGAACTGTCAAAGAATAAGACAAGCCAATAAAACCTTGAAACCAGGGAAAAGGAAGCTAGTATACAAAGAATGAAACTAAACTGAGGGCACTAATCTACAATTCTCCGTATATCTATGGGTTTGCCTTGATGGACATATACAAGAGGGTGAAATCAAGATAAAATATTCCCACCCCATAGTGTAAAGAGAATGGCAATTGCAATATCAACTCTGATCTAATTCGAAAGCATTATACCAGAAGAGGAAGAAGCCTCCAGAGGGGATGAAGAAGGATTTGAATTATCAAGTATTCTTTCAACTTCGAGAAGTGGTTTTAGTCTTCTCTCCACCTCGTTCCTTTGTAGATTAATCTCTTCAAGAATCATAGACAAAGCATTTTTGCATGATTCCTCGTCCCGGAAGGCTAGGGTCCATCTTCCATCAACTAAAGATTTTGACTTTAGTTTCCCATATGCACCACGTTTTGCAGGATCCAAAAATGGTAATGTGGATGGGCGGATACGCAAATGCAGCCATCTTGAATGCTTATCATCTATTTGAGGCTAAATGCATAGGAAAAGAAATATTATTTCTTACAATATTACCAATCAGATTATGTGTGTATGTGCACTCGTCAAAATCCCAAGTTGCCCTACTCAAGGAAAAACAATTCTAGATATGGAGTTATAACTTCTATCAAATTAAAAAAGGATATGGAATTAGCAAACACGCAAGCAAGCATGCATGCATGCAGACAAGGAAAGCTACAGGAATATGTGGATGCATGTCTCAAATCTGAAATTGTTCCATGTAATGTGTAAGGGGCAAGTAGCTATACGTACATTACAGCCAGCTAAAGGTGCAGTAACCCGCACAATCCCATATTGCTCTGTCAATGGTAATTCTTCTGCAAGGACAACCCATCCGGATGTGCCAGCAGAGATTGCTAGAAAGGAAAAATGGCGTTCCTTACCCCTCTCAAATGCAATCCTGCAAGGCACAGCATCAGCTGCACAAGACAAAGACCATAGTGGCAACGAAATTACTTTATCATAACTCTCAATAGACTCAAGATAGTTTTTATTTTAAACAATAGAAAGGACTAGGAAAAAGAAAGGGGGAGACACAATTAGTTGGGTCCATATGCTGATCATGTAGGCTACTAACCTAGTTTTAATTCGGTGCCTGGCATAGGACCTGAAGCATCCAGACTAGCAGTTGTAGCACGGGGGCTCACAGGTACATCATCTTGGAAATGGATAGACGGCTGCTCAGGCAAGGCCCTACCAAGTGAAAAAATTTGAAGTTGATGAAGAAGAACAAAAACCTGGAAGCAAAGAGTGAATATTAGCAACCTCACCAGGGCATTACGAAAACACTATAAATTAGACTTAAAAAACAAATTACTAAAACAAGAACTGATGAAGGCTATGTACCCCGAAGTACAGGTACTTTCTACTCCAGAGCTCCTCTTCTCAAGCAGGAAAAAGAAAGAAATGTATCGGCACCTCAGGGAGTGCCATCCAAGTACAGAATCAGACTTCCTTTTTACATGTTGTACTTGTAATCATACTAGAGAGTATTACACACGCCACACCCAAATATAAATTGCAGGTGTGCATAAATGCAAAAATCCAATACAGATGTGCCTTTGTCATAGCCTAATATTTTCAGGTCTATAGTAGAAAATCATAAGAGATATTCATTTAATTAACAGACCTCAAAGTCCTACAACGATTTAACAAGGCTCTAAACCTATATATGACATATTTTATGCCCAAACTTAAGAAATATAAATGCATATGCTCAAATAAAAGGATTTTTTCCCTCTATCATGCCTATACAATCCATGACACAAGCACAACCCAAGAGCTTGATTTTTATTTCTTTCAAACATTCACTGATTAAAACTGAGACAGACACACAGCTCCATGCTTCATGGTGCTGCAGTACATCACCTGTCCTACATTCATAAAGCTTAGGTCTATTGAAGAGATGGATGATATAAAGTTTCGGAACAAACCTTCACCAACTCGCACATTTTTTCGCCTGCTGTAAATGATGATTCGCCAGCAATAATATCTATTTGACAGGAACACCAAATTATGCGCATATGACCAATAATGAAATAAAAGAAAGAGGACACTTCAAACATTTTTAAATGGAGACCAACTAATTCATTTAACAAAGTAAACCCTACCTCTGGTTGAGGAATTCTCAGGCGGTAAGATTATGTCCTTTGGCTCTTTCCGCGGAGATGAGGACTCTATTACTACAGGAAGAAATTTCATTGTTAGACACATCAAGGTCCAACCTCATATAACTAGTACCAGTGGAAGTCTTGTCAATCACCTTTTTTGCACTTTTTCCACTCATCAGTAAGCACCGTTACGAGTAGGTCGGGCCAAATACCTCTAATCTCCTGTTGAAGGGCATTGGCACATTTCTGGTATGAATCCTGCACATAACTCAACTAAGATCAGCATCCATTTATTGGCAGGATGGTCTTAAGATGTTCACTGATAACTCTTCATATAGACAACTTAGATTATGATGAGGAAACTTCACATAACCAGGCTTATAAGGCAAAGGCTCTAAATAAGGACAACTACTGATACCCACAGAAGCTTAGCATCTTCATACCACACATAGCAACACATGAGACAATATTAAGATACTGGCCATTTGCACTCTCTTAGTTCATAACTGAATGTAGAATACCTTCAGCAATTGGAGATGATCACTATTAAACTCTGCCTCGCTGTAGGGGAGCAACTGGCGTAAAAGCCAACCACCATCCCACAATGTTTCTGCAGATATATTCGATCGACAGAAAAGACCAACCAATGCATCAAGTACCTGAAGAAAATTCGATCTCATATGACATTTTTTTCTAGCAGAAGATAAGCATTTGAAATATTTGTGAAGATAATAATTAGAGGCAAGCGAAAATCATTTTTGTTCTTTGGACTCAGACAATTGGTTTTTGATTCCAACTTCTAAAGACTGTTATGTTTAATGCATCCAACTTCTAAAGATTGTAATGTTTTAGATACCTGATGCCTATGTACACGGGAGCTCATTTCCACATCTGGAGAAGAACAGGACACACCATACTGCTCCTGTCAGACACAGCGATAACAGTTAAAAAAACCACTAAATCTTACGCAAGAATGGAATTCCAATGATAGAGGAAATAAGAAATACCAGATGAATATGGTAAAACCAAACAAGAAAAGAACGAAATAGAAGCAATTCTAAAGCCCATGCCTGTTGCAAAAGAATTACAGCTGGCAGAAATTCGACCAGGAGCACAACATTAAACTCATTGACAAAAATTGCATCAACATGGCAGGTTAAGAGAACAGAGCACAATAATTCCATGAACTAGATCTATCCTAACACAACTTTGCCAGTTAATAATTCTAGATTTTTCTTTTTCTTGTGGAAGAAAATATTCTAAATTTGTGGTCAACTGAATCACCCCAAACATGTCTATAATATTGTATTCCTGGTGTATGGTATAGTAAATTACTAAAAGATACAGAGGAAATTGTGTCGGAGTAAAAGTGACAGGAGGTAGATACTCGCTGATTCCCTTCCCTGCACTTAGGTTCACATTGTTTTTTTTTTTTTTTGAGATAAAAGAGTACGGAAATATATTAGAGTAGGCACCAAGGGGGTGCTGCCCATGTACAGAGGATTTACAAATTTAAAAGTATATTTACAATAAAACCAAAATCATCAAGGTTACAAAGGTGATGTCCTAATAAGGTGGACCCAAAAAAGTGAAACCATTTGTCCTTAATGTTTCCAAAATTATCCTCTTTGCCTACAAAAGCACGGTTGTTTCTTTCTTTCCAAAGAATCCAAAAAATTGTAAGAGGGATAAGTCGATAATTCTTGTTTCGTTTGCATAAAAATTCCCAAGCATTTAGTTTTCTTTGTATTGAGCCTGCAGTACTCCAGCAAATGCCAAATAACCCCAAGACCATGGACCAAAGTTGACGGAAGAAAGGACAATGTAATTTACACAGAAAGCATCTGTTAGCCAGAATAATACCTTTTTTCATGAGGTTATCAAGAGTGAGAATCCTTTCTTTGGCAGCTTCCCATGTGAAAAAAGAGACCCAAGGAGGGGCAGTGCTGTCCCAGATCAATTTTGTAGGGAAATCCAGACATCTAATTCTATTGTATGGGGTCAGATAATGGTAGAAGGATTTGACTGAGAATATACCATTATTTCCAATTGTCCAGTGAAGTTTGTCATCGTTATCAGTGAGCTTAATTGCATATAAGACAGTTAATAAGCTTTCATATTCAACAATTTCCCAATCTTTCAAATTCTTCGAGATCACAATATTCCAGCTACCATTAACACGGTCAAAAGCATTCTCAACCAACATATTCTTATCTTTAGCAATTGCAAAAATGAGAGGGAATTGATGTTGAAGCTTGGAAGAACCACACCATTTGTCAGTCCAGAATTTAGATTTATTACCTCTGCCAACAGCCCAAGATGAGCAATCCAGTACCAAGTTGTTAATGCAAGAGATGCCTCTCCATAAGCTTTTTCCATAAGTGTTATAGCCCCCTCTACGGTGTGGATAATTCCACTAATGTTCCATTTGCAGACAACAATTTTTTTCCACAAGTTGTCACCTTCATTCCAAAATCTCCAAATCTATTTGCCATATAAAGCTTTATTCATAATGGTTAACGATCTAAGGCTGAGCCCCCCTTGATTTTTGGGCAGTTTTACATCCTCCCATTTTACAAGATGGAATTTCTTTCTATTTTCCTTGCTGCCCCACAGAAAATTGCATTGAATTTTTTCTTATCTGTTAGCAACATTGGCCAGAATAGGGAGGACAGAGAGGTAGTACGTTGGGAGGTTGGCAAGTGTACTTTTTATGAGGGTAAGTCTCCCACCTTTGGAGAGGAAATTCCTCTTCCAAATTGCAAGTCTTTTTTTGAAAATATTGCTGACCGGATCTCATGAAGCACTGTCTTTATAGTTAGCACCGAGCGGGACTTCAAGATATTTAATAGGGAGCTGTGACACTTTGCAATTTAAAACTTGGGCTAATGATGTATCAGTGTTAGGACCCAAACCAACCAGCTCAGATTTTGCCAAATTGATGCGCAAACCGGACACCGCTTGAAAACAGAGAAGAATACACCTTAAGTGAAGAAGAGTACTGATGTCAAGTTGGCAGAAAAGTAAAGTATCATCGGCAAAGAATAGGTGCGAGATCTCCATTTTTCCCACATACCCGACAATGACACCTTTGATAAGATTTGAGTGTTCTGGCCAGCAATAGCAATTTATTCAAAGCTTTCATTGTTAAAATAAAGAGCAAATGGGAGAGAGGGTCACCCTATCTTAAACCTTTGGAGGCAGTGAAAAATGATGAAGGGCCACCATTGACCATGACAGCAAAACTAGTAGGGGAAATGCAGGTTCTTATCCATCTCCTCCATTTGATTCCATATCCAGTTTTTTTCGAGCATATAGTCAATGAATTCCCAGCTGACATTATCAAAGACTTTCTCCATGTCCAGTTTGCATAGAAGTCCGCTATTCTTATTGCAGGACAAATCGTCAACCATTTCATTTGCAATCATAATTGCGTCGGTGATTTGCCTTCCATTGATGAAAGCGTGGTGACTATCACCAATAATGGATTTGAGTGATTTGGAGAACCTTTTGGCCAATACCTTTGATAACAGTTTATAAAAAGAACCGATTAAACTAATCGGCCTGAAATCAATGATACAGTCGACACCCTCTTTCTTGGCAATCAAAACAATGAAAGTAGAATTTATTGGTTTCACAAAAGAGTTATGCATGTGGAACTCATTGAAGAACTTAAGCACATCCGATTTAATTTCATGCCAAACGTCAGGGCCAGGGGTTTTATCACCATCACAATCCTTTAAGCAGGAAAAAATTTCATCCTCGGTGAATTTAGCTTCCAGTAGTAACCGCTCCGACTCCCCGATTTTGTCAAAACAAATGTGATCCAACTTTGGCCTGTTATGTACATTTTCTATGTAAAGGGATTGGAAATGAGATTTAGCAAACTCCCGGCCTGTTATGTACATTTTCTATGTAAAGGGATTGGAAATGAGATTTAGCAAACTCCCGTAGAGCCTTGTTACCAATGATGATCTCATTATTGACCAATAGACTTTCCACGTAATTGGCTCTTCGGTGATGGCTGGCCAAACAGTGAAAGAATTTGGAGTTTTTGTCACCCTTGCGGATCCATTTTTCCTTACCTTTCTATTTCCAAGAAAAAGCTTCCCAATGCATTCTATTATCGAGTTCTACTTTGAGCACGGTTCTTTTGTCTCTGTCATCAGAATTCAAAACCACGGCCTCAGTGTGGTCCAGGTCTGCCAGTTCATCTAATAAATCATTAATCCACATCTGCTCCTTCAGCCCCACCTCTTTGGTCTAGTTTTTTATTTCAGATTTCATATGGCGGACTTTGGAGTGAAGACAATAGTTTGCCGAACCCTGAAAAGCAGCTTCCATCCAGACTTTGGAAACCATAGCTCTAAAATTATCAATCTTTAACCATTTGTTGTAAATATGGAATGGGACCAATCCCCACCTGAGACCATCAGAACCTAAACAAATGGGAAAATGGTCAAAGAGAGGGCGGGGGAGTACCTTTTGTTGCAGACTCGGGAGGGAGTGTAGAAAATCGGAGAGACAGAATCAGTCATGCAGAATATGAAGGTACATCCTCTGGTTACTCCAGTCCATTGTCCAC